ATATATATATATATATATATATATATATATATATATATATATATATTTCCTACACGGCGTAAGAATCGATAAATTCTTTCATATCAAATAATAAATATTTCTTAATAATTGTAAAGATAGATTTATGATTCGATATTTCGATGCATTAAAAGCATCGTACTTTCCTTCATAGTTAACGCTTCATGAATTCAAATTTTCGTTTCACTCTGCCGCCATTAATGTGGGACGGGGTGTAAAAATAACAAAAGAAAGAGCCAACAATTCTTTCTGTTTAACAAGGACTTCGCTTCGACCTGCGCGATAATTCAATCGTGGTGAATCGAGACAATCGTGACAGAGTTGAAAAACAGCCTGGGAATTACTGACCACAACCTGCACGCCTGGATAAAAAGGATCGTGCACAAGGAGCGAATCACCGGGACCGAGTATGGCCTCGAAAGTTTTGCTTAATCCGTCCTGAGCTCCGGAGACGATCATGATGTCACGGCTCTCCCATAGGGGAGGTGCGTGCGCCCTTCTCTGGAACTCCCTCAGGCTCTGAAACCAATTTAATATCCAATGTCGTTAAACATATTGAAGGCAATTGCGTTATCTCAAAGCGCGGGAGGGAAAAAGGAAAGGTGAGAAAGAAGCGATTTTACCGCTTTTACTACTCGCACGTTTCTAATGATAACGTAATCGTTGCCCGTGCGGTCAAGATGTTTACCACGTACGTTTCATCAAATGTGACTGTGAAATTTCACGGATCGTCGATATGGTGACATGCCGCGATACAGTTTTCGGACTTTGTGATTCAAAAGAAATGGATTCCAAAAGATCTTGGTAAACGAACACACTTACGTTATTAAATGAAATACTTTAGATTAGATTATATAATATACTGGTGTAACAAATACGATCTAACAACAGTGAAGATAGAAGCTTTTTCGAAGATGGAGCAACCGTCGTTGCAACGAGAAATCAATAAATTAGAGAGTAACGTAAAATTAAAGGACCGAGATTCCAGAAACTCGCCGATATTTTTATTGATCATTCGATTAAGTTGGCGAGGCAACAACCTCGACGTCGTCAACTTCCGGATATTTTATCGAGCCACGAGTCTTGTGTTTGCACATTATCGTGCAGAAACGAGAGACGGCTAGACTCTCGCGGCTCGTTGGTGTAACGCGAGAATTCAACGGTCGCGCTGGCGAGCTGGCAATTGGAACCCATGAAACAAATTGCCCCGAGTGAAATCCAATTTTCAGTTACCTGAAGAAGCGGCGGGTATCCCTGAGTGGGAATATACTGCAAAGCTGCGCCCAATTCTTGCCCGTCAAGGGTGAAAGACGATCCGTCGTTAAGTTTGATGGAGATCTCCTTGAAAGGGAAGGTTTCTTCGTTCGGCATGCCCTCCGCTAGCGAGACCACGCTGTTTGATGCGGAATACGCTATTTTCGCTGAAAGGGGAAAGCGCGAAGAAACGTTCGTTAGGAAACAACTTCCCTATATTTTTTCCCTCCCTCTAACGATAATAAATGTAGGATCTTACTCAATTCCCTGGTGGCGAACGGTTTCCTTCGTTTGGAGACTTCCGTCCTGAACGACAAGTAGTCCACCTCGAATTGTTCTTTCATTTTATGCATTTTTCGTTCGCGTTCTCCCGGTATGTGTGTGTATGTGTCTTCAAGTCCGAACGAATCGAACGGATCGAGAGATCGAAACGGACAGCAAACGGCAACGGGAAACTATGGGGGAAAAATATGATTTTTTTTCGCGAAAAATCCCGATACTGCTGGCAAACACACCGCTAGCAGGTTGGACAGGAAACGAGCAAGTGAGAAAAAAGAGCAGGGAATCAAAAATGGATTAACAACACATTCTTTTTCGTCGAACACCGAACGATATTACTAACAACACTGACAGCGCGGCTCGTATTTACCCGGCTTTTATATTTAGCGATAACTTTGGTTGCGTCAGATAGCATTAACATATTCAAAAAGGAACACACCGTTCTTGTGTTTAGATACTAGTAGCTGCCTCCACTATTTACCACTACTATCAAACTCCGTGGACAGACGTTGGGGTGGATCTATCTTTTAGGATGATGAAAATGCTTTCGGGTTCGAGACATTTTTTTCGTGGAATTCGATCGACGATGTTGCAAACAATGGACATCGATCGTTGCAAAAGACATCACGACAGGCTGTAAACAATTGGTGTTGAGTCCCGAAACGATGGTGAGAGTGCATCTTGCACCAGTGCACGATTTTTCGGATAAACATTTTCAGCAACTAAATTTCTTTGTTCCTAATAAAGAAGGATGGAGAAATGTTGGCCAAATGAAGTTATGAAAATTTCAAAAAACCTTGGGATTGACAATTGAATTTGATTTCAATATTTAAAAAATCAGCGTTGATTGGAATGGATCTGGCGAGTGTTTTTGAATTTTTACGAGAGATCCGAGGAAGAAGGGAAACCGAGACACGTCATCGAGACTTATCACAGACGTCTGACGAAATATGAAATATTTAACGTTCATCTTAATGCAACGAAAGATCAGCATTTCATGTGCATAGAACGGGTAACGCTAAAACTTAGAAGTAAAAATGACCCGGTTTCCCTCAACAGTGGCACCGTTAATGCTCCGCGGAGCAATTACCAGTACCGATACCAAAAACTGCAATTATCCTTCTCGTAACATCATGATTGCAATCGAACTGTTGCAAAACGAAGAAGAAAAAAAGAAAAAAAGAAAAAATAAAGAGAGAGAGAGAGAGAGAGAGAAGAAAAAAATATCGAACTGAAACTATATTACTGTGGGACAAAAAAGAGACTAATCAAATCGAACTAGCCATTTGTTACTAAAACTCCAATATCGGGATAAAATCCAATATCGCCGTAAGTAAAATCGAGCAAAACACCGAACTTTCATATAAACCTTTTTCTATGTCTAACGATTACGTCGTCCAAGCACGACGCGACGAGATTAATTGCCTCGTTACGAAATTACTCTTCGCCCATGCCTTTAACTGTCTTCTGTCTAACATGCCAAGAACGCGTTCCCTCCCGATCGTTTTCGAAGTTTGTGAACATACGCGCGCCACCGGGCGTATTTGCCACCGAGAACGTTCGATTCTATTTTCTTCTCGTTTTCCTTTTGTTCGATCACGAGCGAGGGGAATTCGAGAAGAAGCAGCGATACATTTGTGGGAATACAGTTGTTGAGAAATAGATAAAACGACGATTGACATTGGACGACATATAAATGAATGTCGATTCCTTGTTCGTTCGGGATCGACGAATAGAAAAAGGACAATAAAATTTCTGAGTTGCATTATCAACGAATCCTACTATTTACTTTTATCAACGCGCGCGAGAAACGAAAGTCGTGGCCAACCGTGACCCTGACTTATTTTTCTCTCCTTTTCTTTTTCGTTTTATTTTTTTGACCCGTTTAATCGGTCATTCTGTTCTGACGTATGTGTGTGTACGTAACACGTGTAGTTTTGTTACAAAGATAACATCTTTTGTGGAAAGAGCATCTCCCCACCAGAAGATCGCGGCAGCACGCCTGGCTTCATTATTTTTCTTTCGACGCTAATCTCATACAAGGAGTTTCGTCAGCATCGAATTCATGCTGATGCAAGAAACGCCGAACGTTTACTAGACTGCGTTTCATTCTCGCGCAACAACTCGTCACGTAGACGAAGATCACTTGCGGGGAAAAACTTACGGAAAAGTTTGTTCGAAGGGTACTTTTTCTAATAAACACACTGAATAAAAGTTCGAGGAGAAAATTATTCGATGATGCCTGAGTACTGGATACTTTTTAAAGAAAGTCGATGAACTTTTGTTATATTAAATATTCTTGATACCGGAACAGAAACGAAGAAAATTTTTCCCAGTTCAGAAATTCTTTTTCGATCTATAAAAACATTGCAATAAGATACGTTTATTATAGTTGTCAAGCTTGAAAACGATTTGAATTTATATTTACACAGAAATTTTAAACATGTAATTGTTATTATATAAGCATGTATAAGCACATAGGATTGATTACAGTTTCACTGAATATTTTTCTTTTAAAATTTATTGACATTATATGCATGACGATATTATTGAACTACATCGAACTGTTTGATTATGCAAAATCCTAGATAGCATCGCTTTATCTTCGTAGTCACGGATTCTACTTTCAGTCGATTGCATAATCCACGGAGAGATTTGTCTAGCTTTGTAAGAAATTGAACGATGTCGCAACGACGAGCGAGATTAGACAAATTCTGGAAAACTTGGAGGAAAATAATCGCATTAAAGTCGATAAAATCAGTCCCTACGTTTTGAATTTCACTTCGTTCAGCGTGACTGACTGAAAGTCAAAATTTTCAGAATTCAGTGACGCTAAGTGACTCGTAGTTTCGAAAAAACTCGAACAAAACCGATACTCGTGAACCGATTAAGTTATTGCAATCACTTCTATTACCAATATAAACTCGTGTTACCACATTCGTGTTATCGTACTGTGCATTCATCAACTTTATTAAGGAGATTGAAGTCGATCTTAGGCATGATTCAATTCATCGGTTAAATGAACATTGTTAATATCCCCCAATATTTTTACTGCTGTTGAAGCTGTGTGCGTTTGAGGAACTTTTTTTACGCGTTTACTAAGGATGGTAACAATTAGAGGACGATTTAAGAAAGTTATTTCTTATTTCAAAAATGAATACTTTCAACTTTGTCTAGCAATAAATAGACAACCATGCAACTGATGTGACGTAAAGTTTCAGTTGAAAGAAGAAAGAGGATATTGACAGTTTCGTTCAAGTATGATGACATTTAAGACATGAAATTCATAGTAACTTCGAAAGATTAAAAATCTGTTTACTCAATCTCGAGGGAATTCCGTTTGATTTGAAAACTTGTTGATTCTCTTGTTTAGCTGATACGTTAGTTCAATAAGATCCAAGATTGCATTTGAAAATTTAATGAGAGATTAATAAATAAAACTCGATTTATTTTTGGTACGACAATGGCATTCACATGGAATGTGATCAGTAATTAATTGTTTAGCGTGTTCATCGTTGAATTTTTTTGCAATAGGTAACAATATCATCAGAGATATAATATGGAATGAGATGATTGGGTGTATAGGTAGCGATAGATAGTCTTCGAGGCAAAGTAATTGAAGTATAACGAAAAATGTCACAATCGATTCTAATCACGAACGATTGATAATCGCTGTATTTTTCTTGTCCAAAGTAACGTATTCTTCCATTTCTATATCCACATGATGCAACAGTCGTATTATTAAACGCTGCTATGATAAACAAGCACCGAACGCGCTCGTAATTATGAGAGTCTTAGGATTCTTAACTGGATAATCTAATAATTTTTCGTGAAATTTGTTAACATTGTATTTTAATATGTTCCGTTGCAACATGTCAAGAAAACGGAAACAAACGACCTTCGTTTTTAATTTTTAAACTAGAACCTGTGAGATTTTAATGGTAGCGACATCTTACGTTCATTTGGCAGACTACAACGTGAAATCGCTACTTCCATAGATTTGAGGTGTTTGTCGATTTCAGGAATTCTCCTTACAATTGTATGAAATATTACACAATCGGTGAGAGAAACAGGAGCGTTAGTGAAAAAAAAAAATACGAGGAATACTTAATATTAATTCAGCTTTGAAAAGTAACTGACAAAAGTGTGAGTTCTTGCAATGTACACTCAATGTAAAATCTCCGAGACTGGACCAAATTTCCTTTCGAGCTCAAAGAATTCCAAGGAGCCTTTTTGCTGCTTCTGAAAATTCGCGTGGTATCGATGAAAAGCATCGTTTCATCGCTTCGATGACCGATCACGAGGTATAAATAAAGAAGGTCCGATCGGCTCCTCCAGGGAGAAGAAACTGGTCCGCGGATTGGCAGGCGACGGAGATGGAGAAACGTACTTAACGAACGGAGAAGTTCATTAAAAGCGAAACGACGTTAGCCGACCTAAAATCAACTCTCCGACGATTCCGCTTACGCTTGCTTCCCACCTGAACGGCTCCCCCCACCTTTCCAGCCCCACGTAGCAGCTCCACAGGTGAGATAGAAAGAGCTGCCGCTGGTATGGAGACGTCGAGCGGATGGTCGAGCGAGCGAGGTTCGACCGAGACCGAGGAGGAACAACGGAGCTACGAGGCGGCGAAAGGAAGAGGACGAGTGTCGGCGGAGGCTAGAAAAGGAGGCGGAGCAGGAACCAGCAGGAGAAATCGTGTCGCCAGTTCTCGAAAGCAAAAGAGGTGAAAAAGAAAGAGACGATAGGTCCGCCGATAGGAAATAGATCCTCACGATTGGCGGTAGAACGAGACGAGGTTGGAGATCGGGAGAGATGGTTGAGGCTGAGGCGCGCGAGAAGCGGGGGATGAGAAAAAAAGGCCCATCTCCTCACGGGAGATTGTCTTCCTTCGAGTGCTCCGTAGCCCCTTCGGTGCCGGCTGTCGTTAGCCTTAATAGAAACCACTCAGCGACTATGAATTGCCTACCGATTATGCTGCAAATTTCATTATTTTCCCGCTGGAAACGGTGTCGCCTCGCCCCCGTATTGGTCGGTCGTCGTGAATTCATCGAGAGGAGGTACTCGTTCCTCCAGGCCGGCTACCAACTGCCGGGAAATTTCCTTCGACGGGCGCGAGATTATTGGAAAGAATCGTGTCACCCGGTGAA